GGAAGCTTCTTCTAAATGACATCACTACACTCATCGCTGAGTGCTACCATCTCATAATCTCCTTTCTCTTTTTATTAACATTCTTCATGAACTTCACACAGCTGGGCATCTGTCTTATAGCCTCAGCAAACGAAATGTTGATCATCAGCTTCTTGAATACTTCCAAGAATTGAGAAAATTGTTGGTTTAACTTTTGTTTCTAGAGTCTCTGAGAAAATGATGAAGTTGGTTTTTCTAAGTTATTCCTAGGAGGTGAGACTATTTTTCTAAATTTTTGGAAAGATGTTCCATAGGTCTTTTAGGTTTCAAGTTTTCTTTCTCCACCTCAGGATCTTTCTGGACCTTTTCCTCCAATTCTCTTTTACTACTCAACTTGATTGCCTTCACGTGCTCACTATTCTTTTCTTTGGGGTTGACCTCAGTGCTGCTAGGAAAAGTTCCTTGGAGTTGACTACTAAGTAAGTTCACAATTTTTCTCAATTAGTTCTCTATATTTCTAATAGCCGCACCTTGATTTTGTCGCTGATTTCCCATTTGCAAAACGTCTTCTTAAGACAACTTCTTTTCCTTGAATTGTTGATTTGCATTAAAATCAGGAGGATAAGAATGTCTGATGTTAGAACTATCCTGATTGTTTCAATTCTAATAAGGCTTAGGTGGATTACTCCCCCGTTGCTGGTTTTCTACACATTGATTGTTATTCCAACTGAAGTTAGAGTGATTCTTCCAATTGAGATTATAATAATTGGAATACAAGTTGTTAGTCATGTTATTGATCACATTTAGGGTCTTAAGTGGCGAAGCGTTAGCATCAATTAGTTTCTCGAATGAATTTTCCTCAATGACTAACTACTTGAGAAATTAGAATTGAAAGCATGTCTGTGTCATGTGCACTTGCTATCTTCTTAGAGTTTACTCTCTCAGATGGTCATTGAAAATTGTTGCTATTCATCTTCTCAATCAGAGAATAGGCCTCATCCAACGACTTTGACATAAGCAATCCACCAGTGGCAGCATCAATGATAGACCTAAGAGAGTCTACTAACCCATTGTAAAAAGTCTGAGTTATTAACCGATCAGGCGGTGCATGATGTGGGCGCTTCCTAAGAAGTTCTTTGAATCATTCCCAAGCTTCATAAATCGACTCACCCTCATACTGGCAAAATAAAGTGATATCATTCCTAAGTTTAGCCATTTTGAATGTTGGAAATATTTAGTTAGGAATTTTTGGGCCAAGTCACTCCACGTCCTAATTGATCCAGGTGCTAATGAGTTTAATCACATTTTAACTTTTTCCCTCGAGGAGAAAGGGAAAACCTTAGACTAACAACATCGTTAGAAATACCATTATAGCGAAATGTGGCGCAGGGTTCTAAGAAACTCGCTAAATGTAAGTTTAGATCTTCAAACGGAGTTCCCCAAATTCATTGTTCTACACTATTTTGATGATAGCAGATTCCAGTTCGAATGTGTTAACTTCTATGGCAGGGTTTAAAAACAGAAATGAATTTCATGTGCGGTAGGATTAGCATAGTCTCTTAAAAGTTCGTGCATTTGGATATTCATGAGGAAGTAAATAAATCTTTGGGTTGTTTTGTGGATTGTTCTCCATCTTTCCTACGAGTTCTTGAAGTTTCTTTTACTTCTGAATTTTCTTAATAGCTCTCTAGCTCAAAATCGTAAGATTCAAGTCCCGTGGGTCATGCACTACGTATATATAACCTAGAAATCCCTAATCCTAAAATCTACTCACAATCAAGCAAAATTATTTTTTGTTTTTTTTTAGTTTTTCAAACACAGTAAAAACAATTTAACGCAAACAATTAACAATACAGGTTTTCAAGTCTATGACCTCAAAGTTCAACTAAAATTTTCCTAAATCAAATCACTGCTGCTCTCCGAGAACGACGCCAAAAACTTGACACCGCTTCCAGATACTACAGCACACTGGGGACTCATGCAAGTGTACGTGTCGTATCAGTAATATCAGATTTTAGAGTCCGAAATGTCGATCCCACAGGGTACAAGGTAATTTTTGTCAGGAAAAGTTCTAGTCTATTGGTTTTAAGTCAAAGCCTGAAAAGTTTAAAATGTTAAAACCTAAAAAGCTAACCTACTGTGTTACAACAAACAACAAATTTAAATCATACATAATTAATCCTAGTTTTAGCAATTTGGATTGATAGATATCAAATACTTTATAAGCTCTTCCTTATAGTGAGTTGAGTGAATTACATGGAATCTAAAGTTGGAAGTACTAAAAAACTAGTGACAAATACAAGCAACAATCTTCTCTGCTCTCTCCCGAGTGCATAAATAAGCTTGGATAGAAATGACTTTAATTCCTTAAATTTCATAGTTATTCTTTTAAAGCACATTTCCCTAACATTTGCATCTCTCTACAAGGCATATCAACCTATACCCCATAGTTTAATGTCATTAACCTAGTTGATTCCACCATAGCTTTCCCAAGTCTTATGATTCACAACAAATTTTAACAATTCATTTTGCGAGAATAAAAAGTAAATTAAGCTTTTAAGGTTAATCATCACTATTTGAAAATAAAGAAAATACATTGCACTTCACATTCCATTTATCCTACCTAATCATCACAAGAAAGAGTTAAAGGTTTAACCAAGAAGCATGTCGAAATCACCAGACAATTGCATTGAGCAAAAGATAAATCCACTAATAATTAGTTACAACAGAAATACACAAAAACTACACAGAAATACTCAGCTATTTCTTTTTTATAATGTTCAAAGATGACTCCGATCAACACTCCTGATTCCAACTCTTTCTTGGAAGAACACCACTATTGCAGCACTTAAAAGAAGAACTATAGCTCTCCAAAGCAAGAAAAACCCCAAGCAACTAACCAACATCAATCCCATATCAATCTCCCATCCAAAACTCTCTAACTCTTGCAATACATGACTATTTATAGGCTCCAATACTTAACATCCACGACTCCTTTCAACGCATGATTCCCCACGACCTTGCACTTGAATTGTAGTAACTGTCGGAAACAATTGCTGGTGACTTGAAGCCCAGGGGTTGGCACTTAGGCGCCAAACTCTCGGTTTGCTGAATTCTACATGGGCGCTTAGGCGTACAAGGGTCCGGCGCCTAGACGCCCTTTGACGCCAACCTCTCGGGTTGGTAAGGTTGAGACTAGCGCCTAGGCGTTGGCCAGAGCCACTTTGCACCATCCAGCTCCAAGTCCTCTCTTGGTTTCCCCACTTCAATTATCTCGTGTAGTTGCAAGATAAACACAAAAATACATTTCTTAAAGTGCAATATCATCAATAGAAATGTATAAAAACAATTATAAATTCTGGGTAACTTTTTCATGCATCAGCTATCAAAAAGCCCATTCATTTGAAATAACTTGTGTTTGGCTTGCTAAGTAATTCGTATTTGAATCGTTCGTTAAGCAAACAAGACGAACACATAAATTTTTTTTAAGTTCGAATTTTAAATGAGCAGAATAAAAACAACCCTTTGTTCGATTTTGTTCGACTCGTTTTAGCTTGAAATAAGAAAATTAAATAAATTATTTATATAATAATATGCTATATATGTTTATATCTATGTTTAAATCATTATAGCTCATGTGTTCAATGTGGTTCTGTGCTTTCTACATTTATTTTTTGAATTTTGAATTTTTTTAAATAATATGCCACTTCCATGTCGAACATGTGCCGAACATGGGTAAAACACGAACAAGAATATGTCAATCGAGACATAATGTTCATGAGCCAAGCATAATTGATTTCGAATAAGCCGAAGACGAGCCCAGCTTGAGCTCGCTTAAGCTCGGATCGTTTACAACCCTAGGTTATATAGATATATAATGAACTAGAGAAGTGGTTAGGTTTTATGTTATTGACGGAGATTAGAAAATGTAATTGTTCTTGATGGCAATGACCATTGAATTAACTCGTATTGGTGAAAAATTAGGAAGAAATTCACAAATCCAAAGCGTGTTTCTCTATTTGAATCTTCATCTTGTTTGTCGAAGTTAGATTAGAAGTAAATTGTGAATCAGAATTGTGGAATAAAAGTTAGGATTAACGAGAATTGATAGTTAATATATTCTAATTCCTTGTTATCCTCAAGGGAACAATATTTTTCTTACTATATATTATAGGAACGGCACTTGTGTATGCCATAAGCGCCTGTTATATCCCATTTCTCTTGTGAAACTTATTACTTCTATTTGGAGTTTCCTGATAGAATACCAGAATTATGTACTGTTACCCTGCTTTTTTTTTCAGAAAATTAAAGATGAATAATAAACAGTGTCTAAGAGCCATAAACAATTGAGGCATGCCTTTAGAGGTAGTACTCTCCTCAGATGTGAAGTAAATTGCTAATGGTTTCATTCTTTTAGTGCTTCTCTTTTAACTTACTTGGGCTAACAATATGTCCATTATATGAAAGTTGGATTCTATTATAGAATCAGTTCCTTCCTTTTTTAAACCTGAGATTTTCTTTTTTTTTTTTATTGCAAGGTCTTTTATTCTATGTTGGATATTACTATGTTGTTGTTTTCCTGATAATAATCATGATAATGCTCGTCTTTGAAAACACAATGTTTTTTTGGTGTGCCATTCTCAGAATCTTGGCTACAGGGGATTTCTTATTGTCTGATTATCATTAAAGACCTAGCAACTTTTATAGTTCATGCAAGCATGATTCTTGATGATTATGTTCTGTCACACCAGCATCTTAATTTTTCTTTGGCAAAGAGACCAGTTAAATGAAAATATTTCATATAGATGACGGTTGATATAGATAAATTGCACAAGCTTTTGAACTATTTTTAAATAACCGTCCTTTTTTTACTGATATTGTTTTTTTTTTTTGGCTGTGACATTTATTCTATTTGATCCGTTTTCTTTTTTTTTTTCTTGGATGCTTTGTTATATGTAAAGAAAAAGTAATTTCTGCTTACCTTTGCTTATGACGCTGCTCCTTTTGCTATCGCTTTTTAGGATACAACACTTTATGTGACACTTGAACCATGTCCTATGTGTGCTGGTGCGATACTTCAAGCCAGAATTGATACCGTGGTGTGGGGAGCTCCCAATAGATTGTTAGGAGCTGATGGCAGTTGGGTCAGGTTTGTGTATATTAAACTTGAATATTTTTTTCCACGCACCAAAGCATTTTTATGAATTTTAGGAGCGAAATCGGCTGTTGTATCGTACAAAATCTTTATAATTATTTTTACCTTTGTTCCTTTGGCTTGCTGTGTAGTCTGTGTGACTCGATTATCTTGATTTTTCCTTGGCTGCCAATGCAGGCTATTCCCTGGCGGTGATGGTGGAAGCAGTAGCATGAATCCACCAAGTCAGATGACTGGACCTGTTCACCCTTTCCACCCAAATTTAAAAATAAGGCGAGGCGTCCTAGAAACCGAGTGTGCGGATGTCATGCAGCAGTTTTTTAAGCTCAAGAGGAAGAAAGATAAGAAACCAGAATCTGCACCGCCACCTTCATACCTTCCACTATCAAATCGCCCAGTGAAGTTCTTTTCCAAGCTGCATAACATCTTCTGCATGATGTTTTGCTTGTAGCAATTTCTTTTTTTTCCCCCTTCTACTTCCATCTGTTAAACAAAAGTACACTTAAGTCTGTTTTAATATAAATTGCCCAATAAATTTAGCTGTCATTTGTGTTTTGTAATGCAATATTTTCGTTAGTTCCTAATGTAGTTTGATGAGTTTAGTTGATCAATTTGGCTGACTTCTTCATTTAAAGGATGGAAGGATTTTTTCCGGTGCAGGTGCAGAAGAGAAACCGAGGAAAGCAGATCACAGCTGCTTAGGTTAAAGTGTTAAGGTTGGCAAATTTATGAATTCTGAAATATGATTTAATTTGTGCTTTAGTTTATTTTAATCCCTATATCTGGCTTTGTATTTATTTTCTTATGCCTGCTCATGCTACGTCAAATTTATTCTTCTTCAGTGTAGTTTGTTAGTGCTGGGGTATTAGCGGGTTTTTTTCCTTTTTTTTTTACCTTTTGAATACATTTCTTCTGGGAGTGAAATACTCTTGTATTTCCCACGCAATTCCTCCCTTAGAAGTTAGCCTGTTCGGCAGCCATATTTGATTGAACTTTATTTTATTAGTGATTCTACTTGAAAAGATGTTACAAATTAATGGACTTCACAGATGTGTGTGTGTAAAAATTGAGCATCTTGCTTAGAAAAATCCATTAGTAAATAGAAAATTACAAATGAAAGAAAGTTTCATTTACACATTAAAAAAAACCCTGTAGAAAACAAAATAGGCTAAAGAAAAACAAAACTTGAGAAGGGAAGGAGAAATAATGAAACCGACGAGAGCTCAGAAATTATAGCATTCTCAGTGAATTGGCTCCATCCAGGTTGACAAAAAGGTTGCGATCAGATGTAGAAATGGACTTATCATTATATATTTAGCCAGCAAAAGAGAAGATTTAGGCAACTAGCAAATCCGAAGCTAAATAAAAGTCCAAGGAATCCAACCGATTGACCCTACTTCTTGTTCTCATCATAGTTCTCCAAAAAAAAGAAAGATGCAGCTGCTAGCAAGGGATTCCATCCAGATTATGCAAGAGATCCTCTTGGGAGATATCCCAGCATAGTCATCCCACAGTAAGAGGCAACCGTGTTTAAAATGAATAATAGCAGAGAATGAGTAAATCGGTATTCAGAAACAAGAGATCCCATAATAAGAGAAATTGATATAAGAAGGAAATATCCTGCTGTAAATGAAGGGCATTAATTGCTATAAAGAAAGGTAATATGTTGAGGTATTATGGATTTGAAATTCCATTTTCTGCTCCTATATTTGATGGCATATTTGTAGATCCTGAAACAGTTCCAACAGTTGCAAACGTTCATCTCTCTTATCAAATGTGAAAAACTGTTATCTGAATAGTAAGTAAAGAAAATTATCTCGTGGGCTTGCAACTATAGGAATCAGCCAAAATAAGAAATTACAGTAGGCTGGAGCCCAAATTAAAGTGGGACCCGGTAGTGTTTCAGACTTTACCAGGTAGAAGGAGAAAGGGCATTCAGAGAACAAATGTGCATGAGTTGTTGGGTTTTCTAGAATACAATTTATTAGTGATGTTGATATTTCTCGTCAAGAGAACATCCAAAGTTCTTAAGCCATGGATGAGAATTTTCAAAACAAAAGTAGAGAATTTATAAGCGTACACTTTTTGAACTAATTGAAATTACGCCAGTCTAATGTGGTTGATCACTATATAGATGGTAATAAAGGTCCCTTTTAGAAAACACTTATTTTTTCCAACAACAGTTAAAACTTGTGTTTAAAATGTGGATTTGATAATAGTATTGATGCATTCTGTGGTGGCTTAATGTCGGGCAGGGAATCTTCAGTTGGAATTATTTAAAAATGCAACAGCAGTTGTGTTACTAGGACAACCAAACCATTCAAAAATCAAAGCACCATATTTTTCATATAGGGACATACCTTCCCGCCATGGATCATAGAAAAAGGAGAGCTTGCTATTGCTAGTTATCTGAAAACTAAAGCATCGTCTTATTCTATGAAAAGAAAGCTGGAATTTTTTCCATAGAATAGAGACCTGTTGTTTTTCTGTCTTGTAGGATAGACATATGTGAGTTATAACACTAATTAGAGATCAGGTTTTCGGAATTATAAAATCTCCATATAAGTTTGACCTTGCACATGATATTGAGGGTGTCGAGATTGGGAATACCCCCCATAATGTTAGGGTTTAGAGGTATTATGCCAAGATATAGAATGGGTTTTACTGTTGGAGTTCCAAAAAGGAGGTTGTTAATTTTGGAGGCGATGTTCCTCCTTAAACCCTTATGGATAGTATCGAAACCACTAATAAAAGTAACTCCGATAGAATTTATATCAAAGTTATTTATGTATATTCTTACGTCGGAACCAGTGTTGTTGAATCTGAAGAATTTTGCAATGGCTTGTCAGCTTATATTCGACGAAACATATTCTTACATATTTTAATAAGCCATCAATGTTTAGACGCTCATAAGGCCTTATTTTAAATGCAGTTTCATTTAAGGACAGTTCAATGCACGCAATGAATAATTCTTTGTATTTCACATTATTCTATAATGATTCTCAGTGAATATTGAGCTTATTTGGTAGTTTTCTAGCATAAAAAACAAGCACACATATCATTAACAACTGAAATTGTGTTCAACTCGAACTCCGTTGGTGGCTATTATTGGAGCGAAATATTTCATTTTGGTTGGGCAATTTCAATTTTCTTTTTTTTTAAAGTAAATTCAAAATTATACCTTTAATTTCTCATTGCAACAATCGACTAAGTATTTTTTTATTTTCCATCTTTTTTTTTTGAATTAATTGGGTTAGTGCATTTTGTTTTGTCGATGTTTTACCAAATGAGACTTTTGTTTGGTTGTAGAAGACATGTTAAAAATAGGAGTTATACTCTAATAAAGTTTTTTCTTATGTGAATGGCTTGATGGAAATATGTTATTATTTTGACATAAAGCCTTCTTTCAATCTATATTTTTCACCAAAAGTTTTGTATTAGTATATATTTTACAAAAAAAGACTTTATATAACAAACTTTTGTCATCAACCAAACATGATCAAATATTTAGATTGTGTGTATGATTGTTAATGATTCAATATCTAAGAGTGCAGCTAAAAGTTATTTGATATGCTATTAAACTTGACTAGGTATTATTAAAGTTTGGCTTAACTGCATTTGAGCCAAAATTTAGACCAATTATCAATTAATTTTTTATTTTATAAAATTATTAGTGTGTGTGTGCTCGCGTGCATGTCCTTGTTTAAGCTATGTGTGTGTGTATGCTGGCACAATTTTATATATGAATGTGTGTTTGTATGTAAATTAGATTAAGGGTCGTTTGGGGCAGCTTATAAGTACGGGCGGCGTTTTCAAAACGCTGCTGTACTGTTTGGTTTGCGCGTTTCACCAGCTTCTCCAAAACTGTGTTTGAGTTTTTGCACTAAACGCAGGTCGCGGGTCGACTCCTGCGGCCAGCCCGCGGGCCGCATTTCAGGATAAGCAGTTTATCCTGAAACGCACAAGCTGCCCCAAACGGACCTTGGATTGTGAGTTATCTCAAACCCGAACTTAAAATCAATTAGAAGATTGCACCAACTAGAAGATTTAGTTGTTTGTTTATCTTTTTATGCTTAGTTTGAGTTGAATTAGATAAAAATTTTGATTAGATCCATTAGTGATATTCAAGCTTAGCTTTTAGATGCATCAAGATGCATTTGGATCACATATTTAGTATGGGATCATAGTAGGTGAGCTATACTTACTTTAGATAAGATTTAGCTTTTATGAATATTGGACCGAAAAATCATAAAACATTAGATTAGAGAAAATTTAGGTGATAAAAACAATATTTGGTGATTATCAATTTTTTCTTTAGAAATGTTTGATGTATTATTCATAGAAGAGAATAATAACTTCAATATTAAAAGTTTAAAATTTATTTAAAGCTCTTTTGATTACTTGAATATGAATAATAATACCTAGTAACTTATGACTTCATTTTGTTATTTAATATTTTATATGAGAATTTTATTAAAATTTATGAAGATTATAAATAATTTAAATTTGTAATTTTCTCTAATCAAATGATAAATTCTCAAAATTTTAATATTCATAGAAACTTGTCCTTTAAATGACATACACACACACACACACACACATATATATAGAACTCATTATTCATGTTTATTAAAGTAAAATTTTAGAGTATATATATATATATATTATATATATATATATATATATATTGGATATATGCATTTTATTTAGTTAATTCATAAATACCTTAAATAATGATATTACTGAGATAATGACATGTGATAACCCATATGTTGCTAAGACAAGTGAATGCTAAAATGATTGATGATAAGAACTTCGAAAGGGCTAATAATTTGATAATGAACATCAACATTTAAGGGCTTCATTAACTCTAACAAATAATTGAGGGTGCTCATGTGTCTCCTGATAATCATTTAGAAATCAACATTTCATCATAATAAGTATAGTCTTCATAATAATTAGGTGAAATGATGATTTTTTAGGAACTTTCTCACCATAGTACAATACATATTACTAAGATTTGGTAAAAACAATTTCACCTTATTTGTGATTCAATATGATATCATATACATTGATTTAGTAATAGTACAACTTAAATCAATTTACATATTCAGTCCAAGATTGGCCTAATAAGACCACAAGCTTAAATTGGGCATTCATTTCCTTACGTCATTTTATTAAAACCTCATTTTGCCTTTCTGGAGAACTCACATACTGACTAAATTTTAAGAAGCTTGACAAAGCTTAGTAAGTCAACTAAGGAAAACCACCTTAAGCCAATATGAAACTTGATATAAGTTGTTAAAGTTTTGTAGAAGTATAGAATCTGTCTAAAACCAACAAAAAAATTTTTTTACCATAACTAATGACTGCAATTTTTTTCTTAGTTTAATAATTGGAAACACAAATGTCAATACCATGCATTTAGAATACACCAATAAAAATGGTGTTGCAAATATTTCTATTAGAATTTTACAGATGAAATTATTGACAAATATTTTGTTTACTATGTGAGATGATATTTAAAGCTTTTTAGAAAGAA